TTCAAGAACTGTCTTCGCTTTCAACCCATGGACCTGATGCTCAGCACAATGATCGGTTATGTCGCAGCTACCTTTGCATTTGATCGATCCTGCCAAAGTTTACGCCACCGCTTATGCGTCTTCACCACTACATGGACGGCAGCCTCTGCAGACATGGATCTAGATAAGGTAATATATCATACGGCTTGCTCTTCAGAATCTTGTACCTCGCGGGTCAATCAATTACCACACATTCTCTCGTCCCCTTCGAACATAAGTAGCGTCAAAATGATTAGCTATTTTGCTTTGATCAATAGACGCTATACCACCGTTGGGTGTACACATTTTAGGGGAACACCACCTCGCCCAGCATGCCCTTGACACAGCCGCGAGATCAACGGAAACTAGAAATTATAGTGAGCAAATTGCTGTCGTGACGACAGAGGCAAACCCGCGGCGATAACGAGCGTACGTACGACGAGTTGAGTAATTGTGGCCTCCAGTGGCATCTTATTTCTCAAACCAAGGTACGAAAGGCACTTTCTGCAAAGACTGGAACACATGAGAGTGTTTCGATAGAGACGGATACATAAATGATCCTTTTACAGATGGGCATAGGATGCAGTCCCCATGAATGCAAAGGAGACATGACATTGTTTTGCAAAAAGACGCGCATCAATAGCTTAGATAAGGAGAGGTTAATAAAAAGGAAGATCTTGTACACGATATAAAAGTCTGCTGGCTGATTATGTGCTGGTCGCTGATCAAGTGCATCAAGTGCATCGGAACCACCGCCGCTAAGAGAAGTGATTTTAGCGACCGTGAATTTTATCTAGATTAAACAAGATCGACTACGCCGAGAGAAAGAAACTAATTTACTAGATCGACTGCGCAAGTCCCCCAGAGCAAAGTTGATTTACTGCGAAGGGTCGCTGTGTGCAAGTTCAAGTACTACTCCTAGCTACATTATTACATTTATTCCGCATTCTACGCTGTTGGTTACACTTTTGCAGACCTTGCTGGTTTGCTAACAAAGTCAAAAGGTACGTGAGCATTACGATGTGCTAGAAGTTGTTCCGACTGCCGTGGGGGCAAAGCGACTATATCCTGGGAACAAAGTTTTTTGCTCAGACAAATCAAAAATCGTCCCAATCAGGTTTTTAAAGCAGAACAAGGCATGTTTGACGTGGTTTGTGCTTTGTTGAGGCTTATACTCCTTTTCTGGACGTGTATAGCGTTAGCTTACGAACGCGCGATTATTTGAGAATAAAATGAAAGACGCACACGATAATCACAAAACAAATATGTACCACAGGGTGATAGAATATATAAAGCACAAAATAAATAAGGGCGCCACAAAAATGGATAATACGAAGTATCCACCACGTGGCTAATACCTGAATATCACCGATTCTGCTGTAGAACCAATTATACGCGAACAGTAAAAATTTGTATGAATCAACGCATGTCTTCTCATTTCCTCCCGCACAAATGTAATATAATATCGTTTAAAATTTCCGTCGCCTGCCGTATGTATGCGTTGACGCTTCAGCGTAGCCTTGGTGCCATACTTATTGCTAGTGTGGAAAGGCCTTTTTTGTATAGGATCTGATCAACTACGTCTTACTCGTTTAGAATAGTAAAAATATTGCAGCTGTTGTCTTAGCTACGATGTTTTACTAAAATTCAACAAGAAAAGTCTGCCCCATGCCAATATGTCGCGTAAACAAGGTTGTAAACGATGATAAAGATACGACCCCATAAGATATTGATACCAGGTAAAGATTCTACAAGAGAATAAATAACGTCAGAGCTTTTAACGAGGTTGGTATTATTTCTCGCGATCATTAATATGCTGTAAAGACTTACCGGCTACGATTGCTTTGCAGTACGTATTTAGTGTGTGTGTTTAGTACACAAAAAACGTATTCAGTATAATTAGTGACATCCTTGATATAGAAACTTACAGACAGACGTACACTTGCAAACATTCACCCATAAACGATTACTTGTGTTCGGATAGATACCAATCATTTGACAATGTCGATCCTAGAAGTTTATGTTTATCTGATGCTGCCTTTATATCGGGTGCGTCAACGATTGTTATACGTTGCAGTTGCGTGGTGGTACTGTATAGTTTAGGCTAGCTTCCGTATAAACGTGCCCTGAAATGACAAATAAGTGGTATGTGCAGCGCGGGTCTATGTCGCATCGAAAGTTGTGCAACCAGCGGCCTCAGCAATCAGCTGCACAGAATTGAAAGGATGATGACCACGCCACCTCTTCGATATGAGGTAGCTTGCTCGTGTTATGATGTATGCCGCGTTGTAGAACTCAATTATAGTGTAACAAAGCTTTCTTGTCGTCGAGCATCATTATGTAATAAAAGGTGTTGAATGGATGCCGCGTTGTAGAACTCAATTATAGTGCAACAAAGTTTTCTTGTCGTCGAGCATCATTATGTAATTGAAGGTGGTGAATGGATGCTAAATTCTCATCTGAAATCCGTAGGATGCCAAAACGCATCAAAGTAAACGATGTGCGAATACAAACCGTCTCAACCATTGATCGGATCAAGTGTAGTTTAAAATATTTACGTGTCGAGATTGAGAAATAGCTAATTTATTTCTTTATTCTAGTTGAATTATCATAAGATATAATTGGGGTCTTATGCAATTTCGCGATTATCGAATGCGCAATATATATTTACTGTCAGGATGACAGCTGCAACACATCGTGATCAACGGCGACATTAGATTTTGACTTTGTCTTGGTTTACATAGTATCGAAATATGTCCAAAAAAGATGAGAAAGGTGTATCCGTGTCGACAGCTCGACCGTCTCTGGTATCTTAAACGAACTGCGTTCAATAGAGTACTAATTTGTGATCGTGCGGATATACGTATGCATGGAATATAATAGCTCTTTCTATGACAGAATGTGTGATGATAATGAAGAAAATTGTACTGCGAGCGAGAACTTCTTTCGGTACCAAGCCCATCAATCCTTTGTTTCGAACACGATCCAACCAGTCGCAGTTCTAGGGGATCAATACAGGCGTATGCAATCGAAATGGCGTCACGTAAACTTTCATTTCTTCTGACTTGTAGGGGAACATCATCACTACACAAACAATGACCAAAAATTCGACATAAATATTAAGCATCAACGATCACGCGTACTTTTATCTGGAGTTGGACTCACAATGACTCCAGCTGACAATCGGATACAGATGTTTACTTACTATCAGCTATCAATCTGACACCGATGCATCCATACGCCACGTCATGATTGAAATAACTGAGGCCAAGTACGTGACGCATCAATTTGTCGAGCAGCATTGGCGGGATCCTAGCCGACTTTGCCATAGCACCGTTATGCGGCCCAAGGGGGTAGGAGATTCATAGCCGACGAACTCAACAAGACAATCGAGCGAATTAGCAAGTGCCAAGGAGATTCAACGACAAACCAGAAATCGACTGGTCAATTGAGGTCACGATCATTTGCAGACACGTGTTCACTTGTGGACTCAACGCAAAGGAAATAAAAGAAGCGATAAGTGACAAGGAAACGGGAAGTCGAAATCAACATGACGTTTAGCGCGCTACTCGCTCAGTCGACGGGCTGGCATCTTAGAGCACACGCCTGTTGCCAATGCAATTGTGCACATGATGCTGTCATGTGGTGCAGACGAAAAGAATGAGTACTCACGATTGACACTTGAGGCTTCCTCGACTGAGCAGCAGGGTAGCTCTCATGGCCTGAACAGGGTGAGCATGAATATTGATGTCGATTATAGTGAAGGCGATGGTGGTGACGAAGATTGTGCGGTCAAAGAAGGTGCTGGTGATCATGATGGTGGCGGTGAAGGCGCTTGCAGTGGAGTCGACGACGATAGAGTCGATGATGGCGATGGTGGAGGTTTTGATGACGGTGAAGTTGACGGTGATGACACTTTGATAGCTGAAAAAGTCGCTGCGACCAATGTCCTTGATACCTTCTTTTGGATAGGATAAGGAGGCACGTTCGACGCATGTCTTCCGTTCTCATTTGGCAAGCGCGTGCGATTCGTCGCTGTGCTACATTAGAACGCGTTTTTCCATGGGCGGATGGCGGGACGACGAGGTGAAGGCGTTTGTCCCGCAAACCACCACTTGCTACCGCCAAAAAAAAATCTCGTAACTGCTTTATTCTAGTGATGAGCGCCTTTTGACTACTTCTGGGATGCTGTGCTGCTGCTAGCCACTATTAAAGACAAGGCCGTTGATCACTCTCTGGTACGAAAGCTGGACCTGCTGCTTATCCGCTCTCGCCGCGGAGAACGTATGAGTTGCGATGACGGTTGGTTAGCTACCGACGATCTCGATGCTGTTGAACCGAGCGATGTCGCATACAAGGTTGGGGGTCATAGCTTTTGTCCAATGGTCACTACATCTAGCTCGTCTTCGTGGGACGGTTCTGACTTAAAAGGGAAGGCAGAGGATGATATAAACGATGTCGTTCACATCGACGAGATCGATACGGAAGCACGAAACGGAGCTCGGAGAAGCTTGAAATGATGCTGTGAGCTGTGTTGTTTGTGCCGGATTGGCGCGGAACACTCGGTCAGCTCTTGAGGTGTGGGACTTGGAGCTTAAGTCGCTTGGTAGCGACGTAGCGTCAGCCATTGCCGAGCTCCTGACGACGAACGAGACGTTGACGACACTCACGTTGTTGCGCAATCCAATTGGGGTCCACGGACTCGAACAAGTGGCACGAGGACTGCTTTCTAATGCTCACACGCGAGTGGTAGAGCTCAGCTTGACGGACGTTGGCATATCAGAAACTAAAATCGACCATTCGGCAGCGTCTATCGCGTTTAAAACGTGCTCTTTGACGACGTTGCAGCTGTCTTTCAACCCCTTTGGAGGCGCGACGTCTGCGGTTTCGATGCGTTGGCAACCAACACGTCGGTGAAGAAGCTGCAGCTGAAAGAGTGCAAGATGAAGGATCAACATGCGACTACTCTCGCGTCTGCTTTGATGCGAAGCGCAACGTTGATAGAGATCGATCAGTCCAATAATGAGTGGACGCAACATGCCTGTGCTGAGACGGCTCGCGGACTTCTTGCGAACAAAGCGCTCAAGGTCCTGTACCTCAGTAACAACAAGTGCCGCGATGAAGGTGCCGTTTTTCTTGCAGAGGTGTTGGAAGCAGGCAACACGACGCTGGCGTACCTCGATATGGGCAACAACGGGCTCACTAGCACTGGCATGACGCCACTGCTAAAGGGACAGTCAATCACGCCGCTGCGCCTGTTCAACGACAAGCTCGGTGAGGGTTTAGACGAATTCCTGCCTGTGCTGCAGGCCGACCCTGTCATCGAAACGTCAAGTTTCGGTGCTAACTAGATGCATGAGGGACGAAGTGCCACGCCCTTCGAGGGGCTGCACTTGCATCCGTCCCTGAAAACGCTCGAAATGGGGGCAACGCACTTGGAAAAGTGAGGCACGCAGCGCTTGATGCACAGAAGAAAGCCAATCTCGCCCTGGATGTTGCAGTCAACAAGAACGCACAAAACGAAGACGGTAGCTATGACCTTCAAGACCAGGGGTAAAAGACTTAGATTTGAGCGTACTGTGATTGCTTTCGTACTGTGCGATCAGATAGACTGGAGGTGGGCAACGGATGGAGGTTACTGTCCTTGATAATGGCAAAAGCTTCCGGCGGTTCGCTGCATTCATTTTACTGCTCGCTCGTAGCCAACTTACTGCTCAGTTTCCATAGTGTTGTTTGCGTGAAAAGGTGCAAAGGAGGCCTCAATCAAGTGAACAGCAAGTACCTGACGAAATGCCGCGAGGTCTGCTTTCATTTCTTGTTGCCATTTCTGCACATCAACTCGAATAGCTTCCAGTTGCGTCCATGCGTACAGTTTTTCTTCTTCCGTCAGCTTGCGGACATACTCGCTCCAGATGGCATACTCCTCCTCAAGCTCTAGCCTCTTCTCGTGAGATTCAGCTATACTCGCCTCGAACTTGTCAATCCGCGTCTTCAGTGCCAAGTGATACTCACGAGAGCCGTGCACTATCGTCACTGCTCGATAGATGCCACCCACGCAGAACACCGCCGCTAAAAACACAGTGATTGTAGTAGCAAATGAGCCAGCCCAGCACGATGTGGCTGGCGAAGTTTTCATTTTGCGGGCAGAAATGGACGGCTTCGACGCCGAGCAAGAGACTGCACTAGATGCCAAAGGGCTTGTGCGACGCGCGTTATAGACCGGAGCTGACGCCTCCTTCGTGTTGTCGGTTCCTGGGGCACGCCGAAAAAGGTCCTCCAGAAAGACCATGTCATCTCCTTCTGCAGTAGCACCCCTTTCTTTTTCAACAAGCGCAGCCACATCTCCAGCAGCCAGCGCTTTTGACGCAATGGCAACCTCACGCATGCCTTTATCCTGGACAGCCTCTTGATCCTCCGCAAACGACAGATTCAGCCAAGCTTGCAACCGTGATGGTGAAAACGTCTGCGTACTCAGCTCCGAATGAGTCTTGGGCTTATAGTTCAGCAATTCGTGGTCTGTCATTAAAACGCTGCGTTGGATGGACCTCCTTTGGAGCAAAGAGCTGCTCTGCCGCATCGAATCGCCTAGTGTGCTGCGCATGGCCACCGAGTGTCTCTCGGGTTTGACCAACCTCGTGCACATCTGACAGTGGCGCATCCACTTCTTCCGACGCTAGAAACTCTTGCGCGGAATCGAATGACGCACGCTTGTTAATTCTAGCGCCCGTGCGTGATGCAAGCGAGGCGGGCTGCAATTCACTTGCTGTTCGAAACCGCTGCTATCCTTTGATCGTCCAAGCGTACTTTGTAGATCCGCTGTTTGTCGAATCATGTGCTCAGCCAGCCACCTGGATAGAACGACTACTACTTCTCGATTGCACACCTTCAGTATCGCTTTTTGGCACCAAATGCGGGTTCTGAACATCAAATCAGCCTTGCCTGATATATTCAAACGAAATTCCTCCCGTGGTATCGGACCGCGCTGCACCAATGACTGCTCTCGCACCCCTGTAACCATTTCTGTTGAATCAATCGCATGTGGAGCAAGTATGCTTTGCTTGTCGTCGAGAAGGCCACTGTCGTATCGCTCTTCCTGTTTCGTGATTGCTCGAAGACTCGTCATTTCTCGTTAAACTTCCACCAAGCATGTCAATGCGTCGGTGCCCAGGCTTTCCAATTTCGTATCCGCAGACAAGTCCTCTTTCTTGCTTTCGTCCTCTTCGGTATCCCTTTGCACGCGCCTTCCCCTTACACAATACTGTGCTAACTTGACTTCAGTTGGTCGTCATGCTTCTGACCGCCCAATACTTGAGCTCCTCGGTCGCCGACATCCGTGTCAACGCCTTTCGAGATATTGCTGATAACGTCAAACGCGTTGGCTTGCTTTGCCGCCACAATGATCTCTTCTCGCGTCGAACAAGGCTCCTCACGCCGAAGAAGGCTTGCCGAGTCCGATGTTGTCGGCTATCGTGCCTGCAACCAACACCGGCTTCTGACTTACGAGCGACACATACTAGCGCAGCCATTGCAGCTGTATCCCCTTGAGGTCGTGCCCGTCCAGTGTGACCACGCCAGCAGTGGGGTGGTAGAACCGCTCCAACAGTGAGATTGGCCGTGCTCTTGCCGCCCACTGGCGCCGACGAGCGCGACCATTTGGCCACGCGCGACTTTCAAACTGAGTTCTTGTAGATCTTGGCGTCGGGATGAGCGGGGTACGCGAACTCCGCGTCGCGAAACACAATGTTGCCGGTCACATGGTCGAGCGAACGACCAGTGCCCGAAGTTGCATCGATCAGTGGCTTGCGGTCGATGGCTTTGACAACACGTCGAGCCGATCGTATGGCCTTGAATCCATCTGTCGCTCCTTGCGCAGCCATTCCAGTGGCAAACGTACTAAGCATGGTCCCCATAAGGACCATAAAAACTCCTCAAACGTGATGATTTTACGCGAAATCCAGCGACATTTGATGTGAAAGAGGAATGCCATCACCAGGGACATCGCGCCCTGCGAGATAGCGAACGCCATGCCTCCGATGACGCCAATCTTGACGGCAGCTTCCTTCGAGACGCTCCAGTAGCTCACGTAAATCGTATTGAGAGCTTTTTCATACTGAATGAAGCGACCGTTCGAATGGACCCGATTGCTTCGGACGACAGTGAGCCTGCCGCCGTATCAGCATCATTCGTTTTCTTGTTACCAGGTGTACCCGCCATTCGCCAAGCCTGAATGAACGAGGATGTAACCAACACGCGAAAGGCTGCCAGCAAAATGTGGGTCATTTACAAGTAAAATGCGGGTCATCTGCCAGCTGTAAAAGAATGCGATTGCAATCGAAATGACGATCGTGGTGAAGTTCACCAGCCATCGGTTGAGCGTCGCAGCTGTCATGACCTGCAGAATGGCAGAGTCCGATGCCAGACGAGACACACACGGACCAGAAGAGTTCTCGTCCAAGTCGAACCATCCGATTTCTAGGTGCAGCATCGCATGAGCGTGGCCAATCGCACATGCGTAGCAAGCTTCTGTGACACCACTCCGAATCCGTAATGCTGCAATGTAACGGGGTTACACGTCGACTGGCAGTTGACGATAGGTGTGGTGCACACAAGAGAGGGGGTACCCTACAAAGTAATTTTAGAACACAGTGATTGTATCAATTGTTGAAGACTGATGTCTGTCAACAATTGATTACGAGATCTTTAGAGAGGTTTTACTTTGAACATTAGTGACTAAGTTAAGTACGTTGTTCTATGGTGTTCTTTAGGTTTAAAGAAGAAATAAAATTCAGTTCCCCTTTTGATCAATAAGAGACACGTGCCTTACGAGGCGTCTTTGATCGGGAGGACAAAAGCAACGCCTGTAAAGGTAGCTTGTCCTCGAGCACTCTGTGCTGTGATTCATTTGAATCGTTTGGTCCCTCTGGAACGGGGACCGTAAGCTCCCTGAGCTTGTTGACTCTCTGAGTCGGATTCTCTGAACCAAAACCTTAGCTCTCTGAGCTGTTGACTCTCTGAGTCGGGTTCTCTGAACCAAAGTTGCTCATTGAGCGTTAAGTCTTCCTCTGACTTAAGGAGCTGTGCAGCTCCGCTACATGCAAAGTCACTAATAAGCAAACATGCATCCCAGACTGACGAAGCCAAGCGCCCACCATCGCGCCTCGTCCATCATCTGGCCCTTGGTGTAGTTAACATTGAGAAAGAGCACGTTGACGTTCACCAATAGAACGCCCTGCACTGGGAACACCGCCGCGTTCACAATAGCGCCGAGAGAACCGGCAAGCAGGAACTTCCATTCAGGCGCTGACATCTTCCAGATTCTCGCGCCATCGAGACCGGGGGGAGTGATCGATGTCATCGATCTAGTCTCCATCCACCGCGTCCACGACATCTCCCTCCCCGGATTCACTTAGTCGGCTTGCCGACCAACGTGATGATCGACTGGAGCGTAGGTATGGATGATCAGGTGATTCTTGTTTACTATAGTCACTTCTTCAACAGCGATTTCTCGTTCTCTTCGCTCGAAACGCGATCCTGAGCTTGAGCTAAGATACGGTCGTGCCCGTTGTGCAAGCGAATTGTGAGGACTGAAGGTGCAGGAACATGTGCTGTCACTTCTTATTCGGGCAGCCTTTTTCTCGCACTTAGAGCGTGATAGGCGGGTGAGCTGGAGGCCCTACTGGCCGAATAGCCCCATAATGTCATTCGGGAGGGGATGCGGGGCCTCGAAGGAGTTCAAAACGTTTCACCTTACAGTAGAGTCTCCCTTTTTTAGTATAGCTGGGACCGTCAAATTTCAATTAAATAAGGGAACTATTAAATAGCAGAATTAGAGGGGTAGAAATGAATGGAAAGGTGCTACATGTTGTGATAAAGGCCCACAGCATGATTCTCGCACATCAGCTTGTAGCACAAGTAGTTTGGTGTATAGCACCAAGCAAGAGTTCACGGGTTCAATATCTGGTGACGAAGTAAAATGTTAAAGCCTCCGGGTTCTGGTTTACGGGGGTTCACCAGAAGTGTCCGTCCAGGCAGTGACGTCCCCCTCTTAAGGTACGTGAAGGCGTTTGTTAGAAACACACAACCCGATTTGGAACTGAACATATAGTCGACAAGACTTTCTGGTTGCAGCACAAGACTGGTGTGGAGTTTTCACCAATGATTCAGAAGATGCAAGATCATGCAGGAAAGCTTCAGCAAAAATCTCATAAGCAACAAACTCTGAAAATGTTTTTTGTAGCGGTCCCTCGGCAGTATTTTAATGGTGCTTTGGTGAAAATTTCTCTGGCTTTAATAAAAAAAACTTGATATTTTTATTAATTGGCATGGGCCTAACATGGGACTCAAAACGTACATCAAGTGAGGTGCCTCTTTTCTGCGACTACCTGGCGAAGCGCCTCCGTGCGACGAGTCTGTTGCTCTGCGACGACGTATCCTAGCGCACTATTACGCCGACAATAAACATACGCTCGTCGACGCTATGCGTATGGGCGCGACGATCATAACGGTTGTTCCCTTCGGGAAGACGGCTACTTGGTCTCGAGAGCCTGCGGCGCAAGTCCTACGCGCACAAAAACAAGACAAGAAGGTGCACGAGGAAAAGACGCAGGCCGGTCTAGTCGCCGGTGCTGTGTCAGGCAGTCAAGTGCCAAGGCAGGACACGACCACGCGCGTGTCTTCCGCTTCATGTGGGCTCGCGTCGCCACGAAATTGTTTTTGTGGATTCGTCAGCTGTTTAACGAATTTACTTAAGCGGCGATAAGCTCTTGCGAGGGCTTGTGAAGCGCGGCGATGCGCCGATCTCTGATAATTTCTGTGGACATACATGCTTTGAGTGCAGCTGCTTCTGCTGCCGGTGAACGCGGAAGCGTCGACAACAACAGACACGAAAGAAGTAGAGAAACCAATGGCTCTGCCGTTGACGATACTTGTTCAGAACGCGAGAGGGCAGAAATGGAAGCAAGAGCCATCGAGCACGAGTAGGGAGATCAATTCGATCGGTGTGGCTACCGAAAGCCATGCAAAAGATCAAGAGGAAAAGTGTGCGAGTGGGGCCACGACTGCGTCAATGCCACCAGTCCCTGTATCTCTTAGGTCGGCGAAGTTTGACAGCGCACCATAACAGTCATGGGGCAGATTGAGGAGGAGAAGCTGTAGAAACGGGTGTTTAAGCTCCAAGCGCTCTCGATACCGTTTTCGCGGGTCCGATTTCCAAAGGTGGTTGAAGTACTGATCGAATTCTGGAGGTGTCATGCACGAGCGGCTTGGGAGCGCAAGTTCTGGTCCCCTTAATATTGTCCTCGGACATCTAAGCTTCAGTGCTGCCGCTTGTGTTCGAAGAGCTCGGAGCGTTCTTCTCGGTAGATCTGGACCGAAGAGCAGCACGTTGCAGTGGATGGTTCTAATCCAGGCAAGTCATTAACCTAGGCACGTTGACGCATCGGCACGGGCTGGCCGCATGCCGAAAGTATACAGAGTCCGAAGCTTAAAAGCCATTTCCTGTGGTCCCGGGCGACACCCGCTACTTTTCACTCGAGTCAACGGCAAAAGCTCGATCATGTGGTCGTCAAACCGTCGCTCAGATTTGCGCTGGAGGAGATTATTGCTGCCAAGGCCAAGTTGAACGTCAAAAGGTGAGCGATTGGTGTATCAGCAGTATACATGGATGGAAACTTTCGTGCAGACCTCACTATAGGCTGAACAAATTAGAGCTCTTCGCGGACTAAAATGCCACTGGCACTCTATTTTCGTGAAATATACACTACTGACAACAGGACACCGCGGGTAGAGCAGCTAACCGTCGACTTGTGTGTTTCAAGCAACTGTACATGACTCAGACGACATCGATAGCCGTGATCACTTTAAAATTACACCTTGTCGCTAAACATTCACGTTTTGTCACAAATAGCCCGACACAGTCCGAATAGTAGACCAACGATTACGCATCGCCATGTGTTGCGACTTTTCTTTCCTCGCTTGGGTGGTGTAGAGATGCACACATGGTATCTGTCCAGTAAATTCTTCGTCGCAGCTACAAGGCCATTGCGCTCACGCACGCCGTCCCAGGACCTTTGCCACGCGAGCGCTCGCGCCTTCTCACTCACGGCGCTGGTGTGCGCAATATGACCCACGGCCTGAAAGTGTATTATCTACCAATCACGGCGCTTGTCGACAATGTGATGTTCATCACTTCTGTCAATCACAGTGGCGCTTTTACGGACCATTTGTGTGCGAGAAACCGCACAGATAGTCCATAACCACCAAGCGACGTCATCGTTTATGCACGAGCGCTTCGTGCAGGCGAAAAGTCTACATGTGAATATCGGATTGGTGTATACGGACCACTCGCTCTTTGGATTTGCAGACGCAGCAAGTGTCCACTCGAACAAAGTCATGAAGATTCCATGTCTACCGTCCATACTGCCATTGGCGTGCCGCACACGTGTCGAGAGAATTTGGTGCTCCGTGCGTCATTCTAAACGGAGAAGTCGCGACAATCACCAATGCTATGGACGCGACCAAGTTTACCACCGCCACCACAGCTTCGACAATGCCGAGTGGACGAGTGTAATGCTGTTGTGATTATTTCGAGGCAGGTTTATCGCAAGAGATCGACGTCGTGGCAAGAGCGATTCCGTTAGTGCGTGCTCAGGACCAGTGAGCGCGTTTTTAATTGGTGGTGACGGCACCAAGCTGCTGCTGCTGCTGGAAGAAATGCGAGAGAAGTACCGATTGTATAATCGTGTGACGCTGGATGGAGCAGTGCTGCCCGCGCAGTTGCGGCATGTGCTCTGTCCAGGACACATTTTCCCCAAGAGCTCATTGACAGAGTTTTGTATAGCCATCCTCGAAGCAGCAGCTACTGAATTGTTTATTGTGAGCACGCGGGTGGTTGCCTGATGTGTTGCTACCTGATATGGTGCAGTTTACTGCCAATATTACGCCCGAGACGCTGGCGCAGGCGATTTTAGATGCGGTGCCACGACTTGCCAGTGTCGATAGCAGGAATTTTTCACGATCGTGTCGCGCGATGTTGTTGCCATGCGAACGGAAAAGATAAAAGAAAAAGTGTGTGCGTTTCAGGACAGCTGTTTGTTCCATCTCCTGCAGCTTTATTACGGAATCGGTCCAGTGGCAGGACTGCTGGTTGGCTTGCATCGACGCTGCCACATTGCACTTGGACGTGGTGTTCCTCGAGTGGTGGCAGCCTGCTGAAGATACTGAGTACGCGTTCGACTCAAGCCCAGATGCTACAACGAAGTGAGGGCAATGATAAAAATAGTGGCATTGTCAATTAAAATAGACGAATGAAAGTTTATGCACCTATTAAAAGATGAAATTAAGTATGATGCTCAATATCAATTAAAAGGTAGTCTCCTTCGTCATGGCTACAACCCGTATTACATCGGAATAACAACTTAACCATGTAAGCGATATGATAGCACTAAGTCCATCGTCATGC